ACTCATAGCGACCCTGTATAGGGTTTCCGAGGAGCCGCTGGTGGATTTGAACCGTCAACCTTGTGGTTCAAACCGACCTTGTGGTCTAGTGTTTATCCTATAGTGCTACCCGACAGAAAAGTAGGTGGTTTGAATCCACTACTCAGATGGGGCAATCTGTTTCTGTAAAGGTTTACAGCTTTGGAAACCAGTTCTACTATGTTTACAAGGTCTCCAAGTCCACATCAACTAGACAACAGTGGGTTTTGGTTTACAGAGTAGATAACAATTCTGGGTCAGTGATGATTTCCTGAACTGGCTAATTGTAACCTCTGGATATATAATAATGTTTGTAACGGTGTACATGTTGATATTTGGGGAATCTAGGTAAAGGACACATGGAAATTTTTTGTACTTTTTTTGTTGTTGTTACAATGTTATTTATATTAAGTATGGCAATATTTCAAACTACAAAGTTAAAAACTGAACTTTAAAAAGGATAAAAAAATAGTGAGGCTACCCTGAGTTCAAATTCTCTCTTCTAGTTAAGTGGTTCTGGGAAAATGATTTCAGCCCTGAGTCTCGGGCTCCTCATCTATGGAATAGAGATATGGAGAGGATAACAGCTGCCTCTCAAATCTGTTTTAAGGATCAACTGAGAGTCTGTGTGAGGCGCTTGGCATAATGTCTGATGTGACAAAAGTAGCCAATACATAGTGGTGGTTGTTATTGTTATGAGTAATAAAGTCTAAGCACACAGCCAACACTTAAAAAACAAACGCATTTCAAAGTCTCCCCTGTGACCTTGGCATGTGTGTAAAACCCTTCCAGAAGGCACTATATCCCACATCTCTCTTCACTACAGCCCTCCTGTACTGAAGGGGCTTCACAGGCTGGAATGGAGCCTGCTTTTCACCTTCAGATTTTGGCATCCTCCAGTCCCTCTTCTGAAACACTCTTCTTCCTAGTCTTTGTTCGGCTAGCCTCTACTCAGGATATCTGTCTCCCCTTGTTGCTGTTCAATGCTATTGAGTCATGTTTGCAGAGTAGAACTGCCATAGAATTTTCAAGACTGCGATCTCTTGGACATAGATCATCAGACCTGTCTTCCTTAGGTGGGTTTGAACTGTCAATCTTATGGCAAGTAGCCGAGTGCTTAACCATTTGTGCCACTCTAGGAATTTTAGGTTTATCCATGGTATGACTGTGTGCTGTGGAGTCGGTTCCAACTCATAGTGACCCTGTAAAGGGTTTCCAAGGCTGTAAATATTTGCGGAAGCAGAAAGCCTCATCTTTCTCCCACAGAACTGCTGACCATGAGGTTAGCAGCCCCACTCATAACCACTATGCTACCAGAGCTCCTTCCTTTTCTGGGAAGTGTCCCCCAGCCCTAAGGACTGTCTCCCTTCTCTCCTCCCTCCCTATGCTTCTTAGATTGCTGTACTACACAGAGTTTGATAAAGAGGTTTGTTTTGTTTTTAAAAATGTATTTGGGTGAAAGTTTACAGAGCATATTAGTTTTCCATTAAACGACTCATACATGTCTTGTTTTGTGACATTGGCTTCAATTCCCTCAATGTGGCAGCATTCTACCCTTGCTCTCTGGGAGCCTGCTGCCGTCTGCCTTCGGCCCTGCCCCTGCCCCTGCCTGCCTTCTGAGGCTTCTTCTTCAGGCTCAGATAGTTGATTGTATTAAGGAGCACATTCTCCCCGGTGGTGTTATGCATGTCTGTTTTTTGCCTGAAAGTTGATTCCTGCCCTGGGGGGAGAGTGTTCAGTTCCAGGGCCAAAGTTGTCTGAGGACCACACTCTCAGGGTTCCCAGTAAGTGCGGTCATTTTTGTGTTCATGAATTTTGTTTGATATTCTTCCCCTCTATCTCAGTCTGGGACTTTCTAATGTGATCATGGTATCTGGGCACCACCTGATTCTTCTGGTCTCCAGGAAGAACCAGGAAGCCATGGTTCTGCATGGTCCATTCCTCCTCTGGACTGTTTCATGGAGTCTTTGAACTTCTTTGTTTTGAATGAGGAGAGGCCAGTAGTTCAACCTTAGATGGCTGCTCGAAGGCTGTAGAGAATCTTTTTATCTCTGCACTAGACTGTAAAACCAGGAGGACACAGACCATAAGTTGTTCACCTACAATTCCCCTTGATGAATAGCTTAGGCCCTGCACAGAGCAGCTGCCAAAGAAATATTTGTTAAATTAATCATGAGTGCCCAGGTAGAGGGACAAGTCCCTGTCCTACCACCTCCTTCTTTTAGGACACCCAGGTATATCACTTAGTAACCTGTGATTCAACCTTGGGTTTACCATAGAAGGTGTTCTCCCATTTCACAGGTAGGAAAACTGGGACACAGAAAACTCAGAAATTCTGACAAGTTTTGACATTTGAAATGGTACCTATGAAAGCAACTTGCCAAGTGTAATGTACAATCCGTTGTTGTTGTTGTTGTTAAGTGTTGTTGAGTCAGTTCTGACCCATAGCAACCCTGCATTGGGTTTCCGAGGAGCGGTTGGTGAGTTGAACCCCTGACCTTGCGGTTGAAACCAACTTTGTAGTCCAGTGCATTAACCCACAGTGCCACACCAGAACTTCAAACATCCATTAGGAACTATCAGTATGGAATCTAGATAAAAGTGAAACTTGGTCAAATACTCTAGTGCTAATTTTCTTGCATAAAGCAAAATATAGTAAAGTGAAACATACAAGGGGGCTTAAAAACGTTTGTGGAAAAATTCCATTTTTTTTTTAATTCCATTTTTCCATGAACATTTTGAAGCCCCCTTGTATTCTGGAACAACAGGAGGCCTGATGAGGCAGTTTTGGGAATAGTGACAATATAGAAAAGCGTAGAATAGAGTTGCCACCAACCATTCATGTAACGGATGTTTACTGAGCATCTACTGTGTTCTGGGCATGGTGGTGGTGTTAAATGCCATCAAGTCAGTTCTGACTCATAGCGACCCTGAGCTGGTGAGTTTGAACCATTGACCTTGTGGTTCAAACTGACCTTGCAGTCCAGTGCATTAACCCGCAGTGCCACACCAGGACTCCAGACATGTCATTAACCCCTGGGAAAAAGAATAGTGAGCAAAACAGACATGACTCCTGCCATGTGGGTTTACAACCTAGCATCTAAGTACAGAATCACTAACGGGCATCTCATTTACCCATCTCACATACAGAGATTAATTACTATCATTAATTGCCTTTTATGAACAAGGAGGCTGAGACTTGGGTTAAGCAGCTTGCCCACACTCAATACAACTAATAAGGAAATGTGTCAGGAGTTGAGTTCAAGTCCATCAAGACTTACTCCCTCAAGCACTGAACTCAATGGCAGGAAATGACTGTAAATATTATGTGTCTGGGTTGATGCTCAGGGCAGGTGAAGAGAAACAGGTGATGGAATTCACTCGTTTCAAGAGAGAGAGCTGAAGGAAGGACTGGGTAGGCTTGTGTGGGAAAGGGAATGGCAAGAAGGGGTTGTAGTGGAGGTGGGGAAGAAGAGAACAGAACCTGGTGGTCTCTTGGCCCAGAAAGAAGACAGAGTAGAGGCTCTATGTTGGTGGACATTCTGCCAATTAACCCCTGGAGGCAAAGGAGTTAATGGGCAGCTTATCACTGGTAGACAAGAATTTCTGTCTGGAAAGGGTTTTGTATGTAGGAACCCCAGGAAATTCCTATTCCAAATTCTCTACCTTATTGTCCCTGTGAGACTGCTGATTCTTAGTGACATCATGGACCCCGATTAGTTTTATTTAGGAAGCATTCTGATGGGCTGTGTGGATCTCTTCGGCAAGCTACATGCCAGGTTCACTTACTGGTAGGGTGTTTTCGACCATGGCTTGGGACACTTCCTGGGTCCAGAAGATGGAAGAGACGCAGATCACCACCTGACCAGGCCACTGCAAGACCCAGTCATTGCGAGGGACCTGGAGAAATGCAAACAGGGAAGACAGCATGAGGAGCGTGTAGGACCCGGTCACCATGGCCAGGTGTGCTGTAAACCGATGGCTTAAAATCATCCAACACCACGTCACCCCCACAACGAACCAAAACCCTCCCTGTCATTCGATGCCACAGGGTTTGAAATCTCTGGGATTACTGATTTATGCCACCCTCCTGATACTTTTTGGGGAAAAAAAAATCAACCATCTCAACTCTTTGCATTGTTTCTTCCCAGGTGATTTTACCCTACAGGGCAGACGTACACTATCTTATAAGGCAGCTATGAGTTAGAATCCACTTGATGGTCGTGGGTTTGGTTGCTTAAAAAATACTCGAGGTGGTGTTCTGTTTTCAGAAAGTGATCAAAATTGCTCTGTAGTGGTGGCGCAGTTGGTTAAGTGTTGGGTCATTAGCTAGAAAGTTGGTGGTTCAAACCCAGCAGCCATTTTGCAGGAGAAGGATGAGGCTAATCTTGTTAAGATTTAAGGTCTCAGGGAACCCTGAGAGCAACTCTCCTCTGTCCTCTAGGGTCACCAGGAGTCAGAACCAAGTCGATGGCAGTGGGTGGCTGTCCATTGGTTTTCTTAGCCATCTCCCAGCTCCTACTTTGAGAAATATATCAGGGGCCAACAAAGTATGGACAGAGGGTTATACCTGGCCAGCCGTGTGATTCTATGAATCACCTTTCATTATACACAGCCATGCCATTTATGTACATAGTGTCTCAGGCTGCTTTTCCAAGACAAGGGCAAAGTGAAATTGTTGTGACAGGGTGTGTGGCCTACTGAGCCAAAAATATTTATGGTCTGCTTCTTTGTAGAAAAAGTTTTTGTTTGTTTTTTTTTAATGTTTTATTGTGAATTATGTGATAGTTTACATGGGAGAACATTAGCTTTACATTCATCCTATCATATATTGTTTCATTGCCATGGTTACAATCCCCTCCACGCATCATCAAACAACTGAAGAGTACACCCT